TACGCATGGAATCTGCCTCTTGAAGTCTTGTGAAGTCTTTTGAAATCTTACGAAGTCTTGTGAAGTTCGATGAAGTTTTGTGAAGTCTGTAGAAGTCTTGTGAAGTTTTATGAAGTCTTATGAAGTCTTATGAAATCTCATAAAGTCTTTTGAAGTCTCATGAAGTCCGTGAAGTCTCAAGAAGTCTGTGAAGTCTCATGAAGTCCGCGAAGTGTGTGAAGTCTCATGAAGTCTTTTGAAATCCAATGAAGTCTTCAGAAGTCTTCTGAAGTCTTGTGAAGTCCTATGGAGTCTTTTGAAGTCTTGTGAAGTCCTATGGAGTCTTTTGAAGTTTTGTGAAGTCCTATGGAGTCTTTTGAAGTCTTGTGAAAATATGAAGTCACTGCGGCTGAAGTCCGTTGAAGTCTCTTGAAGTCTTGAAGTCCGCTGTTTCCTCCTTGCTATATCTCTTATTGCTGTAAATCATCATTCGACATAAACATTTCATAGCTTTATTTTTGTATTTAATATAATAAATGTGCGTCATCTATTCCAGAAGTAAATTGATAAGTGCTTTTTTAACGTTTCCATGGAATGGACGACACGTTATAATGGAATGAAAAACAATTCTTTATGATTAATGTTTTAAATTTTCTTTTTGGGACTTCGTTGTAGATGTATGAGTGAGGATAATAATAACGAAAATATGTTACTTCGTTCATCTGTCTTTGTACCTTTTGAGTCTCTTACACAACAAGTTATCAAATCTGTAGTTTCAGTTGCAACAACATTTCGTAAACCTGGTTTTGATTACAGTGAGCGTACGATTCTCATATTTTTGCTTGAAATAAAGAAGAAATTAAAAGATATTGAAAAGAAAATCCAAGAAAGTAGCACAGAAATCGATCAACAAGTGATTCAACATGCACACAATGTTCAACAATGGCTCGTCGATATAAATAAACAACCAATAAATTGGATAGAACTTGAAAATAAATATAGTAGAATTGCCGACCAAAATTGTGATGAAATGGCTCGTTATTGCCGATCTAATATTGCTGAACCTTATTTTGAATTAAAAGCCAAAACTGTGAGTTGTTGATAGAACTTTTGAATAATTTTTATTTTATTTCTCAAAAAAAGAGACAATCATTATAAATAATTTTTTCGACTAAAATTTTTGATCGAACCATACAAAGATGAATAAAAATTGAATCTATGCAATAGTTACTTCATTTATAAGTTTTCTTTTACATGTTACTATTTTTATTATATAGGAATGTGTTACGCTTAATTTTTATTTTAGCGATATACTGGTGTACTACAATCTCGTGAGTATATAAAAAAATTCCGAGAAAATGGCTTTGATCCAAAAGAACTTAAGCTGTATTGGAATGTGAAACAAATTGAAAATCTTTGTCCAGAATCAAGCGGAAAAATTCCGTATGATCCATCAGATGATGATGCTGTTGAAAATCTTCGTGAATATCCTGTTAGTGAACGAAATAATAGTGGTAGAATAAATTACGTAACAAATGGCATCGAAAAAGCAGTTTTTGATGTACCAGAAAATGCTCAAATTATTATTTTGAATTTTGCGGTAAACAATTTTGTTTTTCTTTCTTCATTAAATGTTATTTTTTCATTTTTATTTTAAAGAATGAACAATCTCCAGGTGGTGGATATTTAAGGCATGCTCGTAAATTCTATTAAAGAAAGTTTTTCTTTGGATTATTTGTTTGTCTTTTTGTTTATAGGAGCACAAGAAGAAATTCTTCTTTATAATTCTGATGGTTATCGTGCATTACTTGATCTAAAATATGGACGTATGAATAGTGGTTATGCAATACCTGAATTTGGATTAGCTTATGTTCGTAATATGCGAATTTTTAAATCGCTATCATCGGATGAATATCGAAAAGCTGATATGTTAGTATCTGCTTGTTATTGTATGATTGGACATGAACTTTATCAAAATCCGAAAAACAAAGATGATGTAATTATTGAAATGATATTCTAATGACTTATTTTGTTTTAATATTGATTTATATTATAGTGGGGAAAAAAGAATTTAGCAAAATTTCGTGCGTTTATAGCAGCAGCTGTTACCAATACAAATGGTGATGGAAAAAACACGTACCTTCTACTTGGACCTATTGGTACTGGTGCATTTGGAAATGATGTTCAATGTATTGGTGAAGTGTTTCGTAAGGCACTTAACTCACCAATGATGGGTTCGAAAGGACCAATAAGACATGCTTTTGAACATATTTGGTTTGTTTCGATTGATCGATGGAAAAATGAGGAATTCAAGAAGATCTTTGATAAAGATGAATTTGACAACAATTAAAAATCTTATTTTTCCTTTGCAATAATGTATTGAAATGTGACACCAAGAAATATATTTATATACAATAAAACCTCTATTACTGAACACCATCTGATGCAACCGAGTGAATTTTGCCGGTTTTCACTCCTTCCTTTATGAAAACCTTGACATTCTGAATGTAAACCCTTTTTTCCAGTCTCTACTATATAAATCACCATCCACAATATGAACATGTACACAATATGCCATTATTGTCGAACTAAAATTAGACAATCAATTTGCTCATTATATCATTGGTTATAAAGAGAAAAGGAAGCAATGAACATCATACTTAAAACATGATCAAAATAAGCTACATACAGATGTATATGAAACTTATCCTTAGTCATTTCAGCCAATAGAAATGCTTTAAACACAAATTGAACTATTACAATTTCATTATTTTCGGGAATTATCTTACGAAATTAATATACACTCTCAGCACATTTGGTATAATAATTTCAGATGAATTGATTAATATCCATTTTTCGTAAAAGTAAAAACTATTATTAACCCCGTAACTGTTACTGAGATAAGTGTACGTCAAAGCAATCTTCATGGAAAAAATGAAGACTACAGCTTTTTAACTCTGCTTTTTTGTGTGACCTATGTTGAATGTAACATCTTGCATCAACTAGAGGGTGTGGGTCTCGGTCTGGCTCTAGGTGTGAGTGTAGGCAGGGTGTGGGTGTGGGTGGGTGCGGTGTG